CATACCACCACTACCTCCTCTGTTAGGACAATCCTGCATCATATGGCTAGGTTGTCTGCAAGGATAGCATGCATCGAAAACTCGACGGCATAGTCCAAAGTGGGCCTTGTTGCACTGATCACAACGGGGTGCTGGGGGTCTCGTCTGACTAGTATCCCTATGATATTGCAAGCCTGATGCCCGCGAACTCTAACCTGGATTAGAATAGATAGATCGATCATACCGAGGCCTTTGAAATTGTGGAGGAGCACTAGCTATAGGTGGCGCCGAACTCCTCGAAGATTGGGGCCTGAAACTACCTCTGAAGTCACCGGAATACCCTACGAATCTCGCCCTCTTATGTTGGCCCCTATCCTACTCCCTAACTGCACTTTGCTGGCGCTTACGATCCTCTAGTGTCTGGGCATAAGCCTGAATACGGGAAATATCCATGCCCTCCACCAATGAGGTTGTCGTGCAGTCATTTGTCAGAAGTGGTCCCAACCCGTTCACGAACAGGTGCACCCTATCGCTCATCTCGGCCACCATATGGGGAGCATACCTTGCTAAAGAATAAAACTACATATTATACTATCTCACACTCAATTTACCTTGTCAAAGGTTCATGAACTTATCAGCTCTAGCTTATCGTATCTCAACTGGCAAGTAGTGACAAAGAAAGTCCTCAGAAAATTCCTTCCACACAGTTGGAGGAGCGTTCGAACCCCTGGATCTCTCCCAACTGTCATACCAGAAAACTGCTAACTCCTGTAACCGATAAGAAGCGAACTCTACTGCCTCAGTATCACTGGCGTCCATAACTCGCAGTGTCCGATGAACCTGATTAATAAAAGTTTGCGGGTCCTCATTGGGGTCTAATCCGGTAAACACTGAAGGGTCTAGATTAATAAAATCACGAACTCTCGCACTACCCAGTCTGTCAGCAGCACCAGTATTCTGCCTCTGAGCCTGATCAGCTACCAATTTAGTCAACAACTGCACCGCACTACGCATATACTGGTCTGTAATGCTAGAAGGAGGAATTGGAGGTGTTGTGTCCCTCCTAATATCCTCTGGAGGAGACGGAGTAGATGAGGTATGAGATGACATCTCGCTCTGAGCCTCACTTTGGCCTGCTCTATCTGGAGGCACCTGACCGGTACCCTCTCCCGCAGTTGTATCAAGCTATCTACTAATCGCTTGCTTCCTAGTTGAAGGCATCGCTAAAAGAAAACAAGGTGAATATTAGAGATGAACACTTATGACTCAACTCTACGCACGATCTAGATTCAGAAGAAAGGTAACAACCCTAGATGTCATGTAGCCTCCTGATTATAAATATGGCGCACTACATATCCATAATCAAGACTCTACTAGACACGGCTCATAGACAACCCCTAGAACAGACCTTCTCTGATACCAAGTTTGTCACGACCCAAACTAGAGGGCCATGATTGGCACCGGGTCCATACCTGCCGAGCACCAACGTACATTTTATCTAACCTTTCTTATTATCTATAAGGGCCTACGAGATCAACATAAATGGTAGACATGAATCATAAACAACCAACAATGATAAATAATGGCATGAACATATATAATATAGGCTGACAAGGCTGTCATGAAGCTACATACAAGGTACGAGCCGACAAGCTGCAATGAGAGACTATATAACAAAAATCAACCGATAAGGCTATCCAAACTATACATGAGACGACACCTGTCTATGAGCCTCTAAAGGAACATAAGTGCTGCAACATTGCCGGAACAGGGCCCTGACATACCCATAATGTCTATAACAAAAATACATACCAAGACCATGGCATGTCCGGAGAAGGGATCTCGCCAATAATCGCTAAACTAGGCAGCCTACTGTGGTAGGGGATCTTCGTCTACCTGTCTAGCACGACATGCAGTGACCACAAATAAAAGAGACGTCATTATGAATAAAGTACTGAGTATGTAAGGCAAGAAAGAATAAATAAGAACAGTAATGTAAATAGAGATAGAGAATATATAACTTATAACATCTGAGTGCCTCTGACGGTGACTGACATGAAATGCGTGATACATATATATACATATACTTTTAAAAAAACATACGCCTCTGTGGGCATCATCATCATCATATCGTACCCAGTTGTAATAGGCTCGGTAAAAACGTACCCGGCCATCATAAGGCTTGATAGAATCGTACCTAACCACGTGGAGCTCGGTAAAGCCCAACTGATCAGTGGTTGCACAATAGGTATCGTACCCGGCCGACTATAGTGTGGCTCAGTAGAGTAAAATAGGTACATATATATAATGCATGCTGGACTCATGAGAATCACATTCTGAACCTTTCGGAGTGATGTAAGGTCGGTAACCTCCGTATACATCATTAGAACTAACTCTTACATCATGAATCTAAGAAGAATCAGGAAATACCAACAACGTTGATAATATAAGAATAAGAGAAGCAACATCAACATCAATCGTTCCATAAGAAGGGAAACAATGTAAGTACTGCTAGCTTGTAAGAGTGGAGTATCTTTGGAAGCTAGTTCGTTACATTATGTACTATCAGAGTCGTGCAAAAAAAGGAAAAGGATAGCCTCACATACCTTGTATATACTGCCCAACCTCAAGCTATGCAAATCTCACGGCTCCTTAGTCTACAATAAGAGAAATGATACTGTCGTTATCGTTTAAATATCGTAACTAGTATATATCAACCGCAACCTGTCTTACGATGAAAAAGACAGCATCTCCCCTATTTATATGACTTCCCACAAGTTAAAACAATCACCAAATAGCCCAAAAAACATCAATAATAATCATAATAAGCCTCCCAAAATAGTCCACCAATCAATAACATTACAAACAAGCCATTCGAAAAATATCTCACAAGTTCTGGCTTCAACGACTTAGCCGCAACTTGGATAAACTTAAATACATGTAGAGTAAGAGGTTTCTTACCTTTAAACAGATAGAACAACTCTAATTTGGCCTTACTTCACCACAAAATATCCTCCCAATGCAGCCACAAGAACAAGAAAGCGAAACTAGCAATCAATTCGGATTGTTCGACAGTAGAATCACTTTGGAAGACTTGAAATCACCTAGGGTTGATATTGAAAACTTGAGAGAGTATTTTACAGAACTTAAACCATTTAAAACAACCTCTCACATGAGCTGGAACCGCACAAAAATTAGCAATAACAAGAAGAATAAGAAACTCACTAGCGCCACGGGATTCCCTACACTTGATTTGTGTTGTTTGCCCTTTGTTTGGGTCTTGGATCATGAGAGAATCTTGAGAGAAAGTTTTTAGGTGTCTAGGGTCTGAAGAGAGTGAAAAATAATGAGTTAAAACGGGATTTGGGCGTCTCATATATATTAATATATATCAACTGCCTATGTGGGTCCCATAGAGAGCTGCTTGTGCAGTCTCGCAAAAATGCAAATATGTCTCTACTACGATGTCGTATCGACGAACGGTTTAATGCGTTGGAAACTAGACTCATAGATCTTCAATTTTATGGGTGGATCACCCCGTAATTCCAAGTACATTGAGAGAAAAACTTAGTAACATTAGACCTAAAGTTTAAGTAAAATTTTGAACGTAAGTTGCGACAACTTTTGTCGACTTTTGTTTCATAACTCGCTTGACGTCAAGACTTATGATACATATATTATATGATTCAAATACCTTAAAACACGACCTCCTTAGCATATTAAGCACCTCTAGTTTTACCCGAAAATACAGGTTACAACATCCTTGATTCGTTTTACTTCTAACTTCTAATACTTGTTAACCACTCTTATACACCCTTGTATCATTTAAGACCAATAGGATTAACTTCTTATCATCTCAAAAATAATCTCTTCTCAGATTTACATCGAGTTACTCACGGCGTGATTTAACGTACGCGAATATGGGTTGTAACAAAATATATCCACAGGTTACTATGTATTTGAAGATTAGCCAACTCGCTCAAACTTTAGGATATCGTGTCCTAAAGTTCGAATATTGTGTCTAGAAACTAGAATTTTATGTCCTAAACTTTAAATTAATAGTTCAGAAACTCAGGCCACTTAGTCCTGAATTTCAAATTAACAGCTCAAAAATTTAGGATACTAAGTCCTGAATTTCAAATTAGTAGCTCAAAAATTTAGAATACAAAAATTCAGGATACTCAGTAAGGCGAATTGACTAATCTTTAAATATATAATAAATTGTGGATACATTTTAAATAGCAGTCTTAAAAGTGGCTACTAATGCACTTCGCTCTTAAATAATAATGAGCAATAATTTATGCAAAATACCCATTGAGCTTAAACTAATTACGATTTTTAAACCCATTTGAAAACTATTTATAATATATACCTACCCAATTAAAACTAATTACCTCTGCCTACCAATCCATCCCACTTTTGTTACCCATTTAGCTTAACATAACTTGATTTGGCTTGAATTGGCTTGATTTGGTTTGACTTGATTTGATTTTAGTATCTTAGTTGACTTTATTTGGTTGGAAGGGTCGGGCAGTAAAAAAATGGATAGAAGGAAAACTTTATGTGTAAGGGTGGGTAAATAGTTTGTGGTGGGTGGGTATTTACGAATATCTCCTTAAATAATTGACCCTATCATAATAGCTCATAATATTTATTAGGACTAGTATATATTTAATTTATAGTTAAATCTAAATTTCTTATGAATTTAAATTGAATAAAATTCTAATTGTCTACCATGTGCAAATTTACTGCCATTTGCTGTGCATATAGAAGATTTACCCTAGCTTATGTCTTATTCCAGTAATATACAGTAGTAATGTGGAGCGACATTCTCAGATTACTGGAATTAACAAGAGAGTGCCCCACATACGACAACCAATCTCTCTATGTTCTCTTTTCAATGGATTTTGTTTTCTCGAAGAAATTGAAAATATCAACTTTCGGCGCCTTTCGTAAATGATGTTAAGCTGTTCTTGTTCGTAATTCGTGATTCATTATTTCTCCAACGCCACGAAAGTCAATTTTCACAGACCAAATAGTCAAGACATCAATCCCAATGCCTTTAGGTGAACTAAAATCACCCCGCAGAAGTTTTACATATTTCACTAGCTATTCTTCTAATACATCAAACTTAAATAACAAAAAATCCTTTAATAGTATACATTTAATATGATCGGGCTAATTATGAATTCACTGACTCTAAATCCTAAATCGATCTCTTCTCATTAATTCAGCCTAAGTATCGGCATAACCTTGCTTGTACTTGCGGAATATTTCTTCAGTTTTGGCATTTCTAAAAGCACAGCACCCAATCAAATAAACCCAAATCAATCCACGATCTCTTCTCATTAATTCAGCCTAAGTATCGGCATAACCTTGCTTGTACTTGCGGAATATTTCTTCAGTTTTGGCATTTCTAAAAGCACAGCACCCAATCAAATAAACCCAAATCAATCCAACAAGAGTTATCAGCAGAACTATATCTGCCCTCCTCCATTCTTTCTTCAAATTAGCCAACAATCCAGCTTTGCAAGAATCACAAGAGTAGCAAAGTTGTGTTTGATCATTGTTCCATTGCAAGCAATCCATATCTGCAACATTGTTTATAGGGCTAATCCAATATGTTGGGTTCACAAATGTGTACCCACATTGTGTTGGTGGCTTACAGCACCCTGACTGCAAAAAGAAAACATACGTGAAGAATGCCTAAAAAGAATTTAGTTCCAAGGCATATTACCACATGGAAAGGGAATAAGATTCTTGTGTCTTTTAAGTAAAAACTTGTTTGCTTTTGTTAATTCTTGTCTATGCTTTATGTATACTTTTTTGATGTTGGAATCACTCCAGGTATAATCACAGTTGAAAAGGGTTTTCCTCTAAGGAAAGAAAGCTTCCCTTCATAAGAATTTATAATGCTTTCCTTAATACAAGGAAAACAACAACTTCAACCCAAATCAATTTGGTACCGATTTTATGAATCCTCACTTTGATGCCTGTCTATTAAGGTCCACCTAAACTCTTAACATTACAATGTTACAGAATAGACGCCTCCAAGCAAATAATACTGGACTTAAAATATACATACTAACATGACTAAGTAATACTTCGCTTCGTACACGCATAAATTAGAAGACGTAGCTACTACCTACTTTATTTTCAATCCATTATAAGAGAGCAAAAATGGGAAACAATATTAAATCTCCATAAGATTTCATAGGAATAAAATAAAAAAGTTTCTTGGTAGAATTATTTTCCGTTTCCCTTTTTATACTAAACCAAGAAATTTCATGTGCTACCTTTTATATGAGTTGAAAAATCACAAAAGCATGAATTCATGCAAGAAAAACTTACCTGCAAAGGGCTAATAGGAGCATTAAAGAAATCTTGAGCCATGCGATAACTTTGATTCAACTGAGCGCACATAGTTGTGGAGCTAAGGCAACTTCTTATTCTATCCCATTTGTAAGAACTTTGAACTCTCCTTCTAAGCCAGCCAGAATAGTCATCAAGATGGTATTCCAAATAAGCCCTACTTGGTTCCATATGGCCTGAACCTCTAATAGTGACCATGTAAATAAAAACTACCAAACATGCAAGCAAAACTATGAGAATGAGCATAGCAATGAGGTAGAAAATGAGCAGTGTTGGAATCCTCCAAAACCCTCCAATAAAACCAGCAAGAGCGACAACTAAAATGAGAACTCCTAAGATAATAACTGGCCATTGTAGAATCTTGACACAAGAGTTGTCAGTTTCCATTGCTAGCCAAATTCCAGCACCAATCACTGGAATTGACAATAGCATGGCTACAAAGTTGATGCACCCTATGACATTATTACTTAGTGCCATTTTCTTTCTTGCTTGTTTTTTTGTTCTCTAAAGATTTTCAAAAAGGAATTTGAAAGATTGGGAGAGATGGATACTGGAGAAGACAAGAGAACTTGATATCTAGGGTAAGTTACTTTTTGTTCCTTACCTTGTATCCATGAAATTAGTAAAGGAAAATAATGTTTTTTATAAAAAAGAAGGGGTAATTTGATCTTTTGGGTCCAAATGTCTAAATCACTTTAGTGCTACTTTTTCAAAAGGGGAACAGGTTGTAAAGAAAACAAAAGTGAGGGAAAAGAAGAAATTCGTTGCTACATAGAGCAGAATGAAAGTTTATGTCCCATGTCCTGCCATGATATAGCGAGTAGTACAGTGCATAGGATGTCCCCATTCCAAGGTTGCATCTACACTAAGATCCTTTAATTTGCCTTTACTTTCTTTTTTCATTTATTTTAATTTATTTCCTCCCGAGGAGCACTATTTTGCAAAAAAAGTAGGAACTTGTATGTTAGGTTTTTGTGTGTGTGTAAATTTCTTTAAAGCAATCTAAAAAGCGACTTGTGTGAAATGCAAATGAATTATTTCTTAATTGAATGGTGCAAATTCCCTGATTACTAGTAATTTGTCATGAGAAAGCCGGACAGGATTGCAGATTTGTAAATCAACACTCGTCGTAATTTATTTTTAACGAACAAATCACATTCACCATTGTTTGCCTGTCTTTCATTTTTCACTTATTTAAAATAGAGAAAAATGATTAATTTTTTTTTAAATAAATTTAGCCATCTAAAAATATGTGAACATTTTACACTCTAGGATAGTCTTTGATGTATACTACGGAAGTTATACTGCTTTTAAATAATACTAATAGAAAATACTTTCTCTCTCTAGAAATGCTCTCGGGTAGGTTAAGCTATTGTGTGTTGATTCGTCGGCAACCAACAGGGGCAGATTTAGATCCAAATTGTGGTGCACGTAAACTTATGATTTTCCCGTCAAATTAGGTATTTTATGTACATATTTTTTATAATTGATGTAACATTATTTGCTAGCTCTCATGCTCTAAAAAATTTGAGTTGTGCACTTATTAAAATGTTGAGTTATTTATTCAAAAGAAAAAGAATCAATTCCCACTAATTACTTTCTTATTTCTCATTTTTTAATAGTGCACTCATATTCTAGAAATATTAAATGTGCCTCGGTAGCCATGGCCAGGAGAGGAAGACCTAGCAAGAAACAGCCTTTTGTGACTGTATGAAACTCTATAAGTGCTCAATTAATAGCTGAAACACTTGAGTAAGGGAACACGTAGTAGGCGGTTACTCCAATTGATAACCAATTTCAAGGTAGTCTATTGAAAAATTGGAATTGCAATTACTTTCAACTCGCGCAAAAGCTGAATTTAAGTGCAATATTCAAACCAGTGAACATGCAAGCTCATCAACTCACGGAGGGAAATTGGTAGATACCCCATGTGTAATTGAGGGACAGAACAAGCAAGATTCCAAGGTGCCGGAGTCGGAGGAGGAGACCTTACTAGAATTTCCATGGACAAACTTATTTGCTGGCAATCGCTCAGTTGAGAACAGTATGTCACTATCATATATTACACCAAAAGTGGTAGATGATAAGACCGTGTAACTTGAAATTGAGAAATGGAGCGTGCCCTAATTGCTTAGGTGTGTTTACTCCAAAAATGAGTAACAATTAAATTTGTACGCGGTTTAAAGAATATGTGATTTAATTCAATATGAATAATTAAGAACAACAGGTAAACGAGTTAAAGACAAAATAAATGATCAAACCAATCGCAATGTAATGACGAAGTCTGATCTTAAATTGAACAGTGAGATTCGTCCTCGATTGGACTCTCGATACAAGCTCGGTCGCGAATGAAGAAAAGAACAAATGAATAATGCCTTGAACAATATCTAGAAGACAAAAGTAAAATTTTATAGCTTTGATTTGCGTGTCATAATGTGTCAGAATAAAGAAAACCTTCCTTTTTATATAGTAGGAGAATTTCAGTCCTAGTACAAGCCTAAAAAAGGTAAAAATCTTCCTTTTCCGGTAAATGTTGATCTACAGTTGATACTGAACGGGATTCGCACTGTAATGTCCGGTTGAGAGCGAATATTACGGCCCCTTGCTCGTCATGCATAACCGTTCACCGCGTCCCCCAAGGTCCAGAAGCTATACTTGGCCCGGGTCCGTCATTTCACCGTGCCCGATCTCAGATACATTGTTCATTCCTCCCGGGTTTCGATACGAGAGGATCCTGGGCCTCGATTATAATCACTTCGAGTCGTGCTTCCCCTTCGTTCCTTCATCTGGGAATCGGAAAAATTTTACCCCCGATTTTACCCGTATACAGATAGTCCCCTCGTTTCCCGGAGAGTAGATTTATCAAAGCGACAGGAAGCGATAAATTAACCTAGGTTCCTTCTTCCGTACGCTGCAACTGAGTTGTCGGGTCAGCGAAATATCCCATCAATCGCGTCGTTCTGACTTCGGACATGTGTCAGCTGCTGGTTGACTGTCCTCGAACGCGAAACGTCACGCATTGATTATCTTTTCTCTATAAAAGCTTCGACCCCTTTTTCACTTTTTTAGTTTCCGATTCCAGAGCTTCCCGACTTACCCTCAAATTCTTTACTTATTTCTAACCCCTTTAAACATTCATCTATTGTTTTCCAGATCTTTATATTTTTATCTCCAAAAGTACATACTCCTTCTTCAAATCATCAAGTCAGACATTCATACCTTCATCCCTATCTTCAAATCTTCATCCTTACCTTCAAACCTTCATATTTTTCAGAATTCGATGGCAAAAACTTTCAAATCCGTGCCTTAACTGACCATCCCTTCAACTTACAAACCGGCCACGGATGCCGAGGTGGCTGTTCCTTAGGTGCCCCCGGAGCCTCCTTTAAAGAGCTTCATCCCCGGGGACTGTCCCATTGAGAACGACTTTAAAGTCGAGAAGGCCTCCGTCAACAGGCCCGAGGGGAGGGAGTATGGAGGTACATATGCTCCGTTACCGAGGACACACTCCCCATAGTTCAGGTGGACTACAACTGGGAGGGCAAGGAAGTGGTCGTCCCCGGGACCAAAGAAGACATTACCATTCACGTGGAGGGGTATCTAAGTGTTTACCCCTTCACGCTCTCCCCGGTAGACCCTATAATTCTTGGCTTCTGCAAAAGGTACGAGGCCTGCCTTGGGCAGATTCACCCGTCCTTTTGGAAGATCGTAATCCTCCTCCGCCACTTCGTCAACAACACCGAAGCACCTCGATTTATCCTTGACCACCTACTTCATCTCCATAGTCCTCGAGTCTTCCAAGGGGGTTGATCAAGCTCATTCGGCGAGCTAGCAAAGCGCCATTCTCGAGTATCGATGAAGAACGAGATAGAGGTTGGCAGGGGAGGTTCGTTCAGGTGAAAACCGAAGACCTTATTCCCCCCCGAATTCTTACCGTTCCCTGAAAAGTGAATTCATCATGTAAGTTTTCTCCCCTTCCTGAGTACTTGGTACTTCCTTTGTTCTTTATCTAACTTACTGTGCCTACCGTTGTGCAGCGGTCGCTCAAGTTCCCAATGTAGTCTGCCGCTTCAAGGAATGGATCGAGGGGATCTACAAACAAATGTCTTATTTCGAGCGCGAGTAGCGCAAGCTTTCGAAGGGCAAGTGGGAGGCCCGTTCCCATGGTGAGTCCTCCTCCCGAAAAATTCTATTTTCATACTTAACTTTTATTTCTGCTAAGTCTTTTTTCCTTTCACAGGTTTGCCCGTCCTCACTTGCTGAACTTTCTGTTCGAGACAGCCCAGAGCTGCTGCAAAGGAGGAGAAGAAGAAAAAGAGGAAATCCTCTATCTCCCCGGACACCGAGATCAAGAAGAAGAGGGTAGCTGTCCGTGTCCAAAAAAGCAGCAAAAAGAGTACCAAATCTAGGGTATCGGACCTTGATTCCCTCTTCCGGCTTAGGGATTACCCTGAAGATGTTGATCTGGAGTTCATCGCTCATGGGTCGACCATCGGCAAAGGGGAACATGTGGCAACCGGAGAAGGTGGCCGAGAGGCCGATCCCCATTTAGCTAGGGAGCCAAAAGATGAATCAGAGGCCACGGCCTCCCGAGAAACCTCCCCTGCCCCGAAGGATGTAGCAGGTGTAATCGACATCGTAGTCGCCGTATCACATAGTGTCTATGTTCTACGAGGCTCAAGCCGATAAAGAGAATTCAAATGAGATGGCACGGGGTGCAGATGATGCCCTAAACATGTTTTTTGACGGCATAGACATGAGCGCATTGGAGGATTATTCTGGGTTTGGTCACTTGGAGGTCCCAAAAAAGGACGTGTCATCGAGAGCAGGCGAACCGAGATCGAGCCCGAAGCTAGTGAGGTAGTTCCCTACTCCGAGTGTGGATCCCGACCGTAAAAGAATGTTCATGCTTACTATCCCAGCGGACGCCGGGTGATGTCCGCTCCGATAGGTGTGGCCAGCTATCTTTGTTGCCTGATGACTGAGGACGAACAGGCGAAGATGAACGAAGTAGGCACATCGAACCTCTTTAATGAGGCACAACATGCACTGAACCGGGTAAGTTGTCTATTCCTTGTTCCCTTTACGAATCTTGCTTAGTTTCAGCATGCTCTTATGATCTTATCGTTTTGTTTTTCAGGCTTCGGTGCTCCACCATGAAAGCTTCCTTCGGTCTCGAATGGATGTCAGCCAGCTCGAGTTCGAGCTCAAAGAGCAAGTCCGGCAGAAGGACATGTATATGGTTCTCAGTGAACAAAAAGACAAGGCCCTCAAAGATTTCCTAATTCTCCGAGCTGAGCTGGAAAAGGCACAGAAGGAGGCCTTGTCCGTGAAATGGGAGCATGCCGAACTGGTCGAGAAGGTAAGGATTTTGTAGGTTAAAAATGAGAGGTTATGCGTAGTGACTAACGACGCAACCTCGCAGGTCCAAGAGAAGATAGACTTGATTGATCAACTTCGTGTCGAGATGAACGAGGTCAAAGCTATGACCTGGGCGTTGAGGAGCAGGATGAACCTGCTAGCTTTGGAAAATGAGGCTACAAAGGAGGAGTTAGCATAGGTCAAGGACCAGCTCCGGGTAGCAAAGGACAAGGCCGACAAGTGATCTCGGCTAAATGATGAACTCGGGCACAACTAAATTCAGCCGCCTCAGAACGGGATGCCCTTGGCCGGGAATATATTGCGCTGAAGTCCAAATTGGAAGCAACCTCGATTGATTCCTCCGAAGTTGAGGAAATGCTGGCCTAGTA